AATTGACGGAGTTCTCGCCTACTTTGATTAAGAATCTGCTTCGCAAAGCTGTTGTGAGAGGTCTCGAGTGGGACATGGGGGCTCGTCTGAACATGTCTGGACGTGTTTGCACTGATGGGGTCCTTAGTTATCTCCAGAGCACGAAGTATTCTGCCTTTGAAAAAGGCTGTCTGAGGGCGCTTTTTTGCAACGCGGTGTACACTCGTACGCGTGCGGCAGACCTAGGCTACCAGCTGCAGAACGTGCTGTGCCAGCTGTGTGGCGAGGCGCCTGACACGCTCCGCCATAGATTGTGGGAATGCCAGTGTCCTGATGTAGTCGAACTAAGGAACTCGATTGTGCCCATAAAGATCCAGAAGTGGGCGAGCCAGGTGGACGACAACTTGGCTGTCTTTGGGGTGTTTCCTCACCCGGGTGATGTTTTTCCTGCTCCGTTGGATAAAGGTGGTATTCAGGTGGAGTGGGCCCAAGGAGAGGTTGGGGACCTTCATAGTGTGTTCGCTGGAGACATGTTCGTGGATGGATCGTGTTCGCGTTACATTGTGAAAGAATTGAACCGAGCTGGCTGGGCCTTCACTTTGGTTGACAGGGAGACTGGGCTTGAATTAGTGAGAGTCAGAGGACCAGTTTGGGGGCCATGCCCCCAGACTCCACAAGCAGCCGAGTTTTTTGCCATGTCTATCGCCATTCAGTGGAGCACAGGCCAGTGTGACATTTTTTCGGACTGTTTAAATGTTGTGAATTTTTTCGGGATGCCCTGGATGGAGCAGATATCAGCCAGGTATATGTTTGCTGGCGTAGCTCAGTTTGCTCGTCCGCACATGCACAAAGTCACGGTATCCAAAGTGAAAGCCCATCTTGCTGTCGATGAAGCGGTCGACGAAAGGGATCGCTATTTAAGACAAGGCAATGCGTGGGCTGATACCTCGGCCAAGGTTGCGGCATCCTTGCATCCTGCCCCGTCGGACGAGTTGCGTGAGGGCCTGGATCTTTCCGTGGCCGTGGCCCGAGCTGTAGGACGTTTGGGTGCTAGATTAATGTCCTTGTGGCCTAGATTAGACTTGGGCAAAGATTTAGAGCGAATCAAGCCACCTGCTAAAGAGCAGGCTCCTGCGAAACCTTCACATGAATGGCATTGGGTAGGCTCGTATTGGCAATGTGCTACGTGCTTGCGTGGTCGTCGTGGCACGTTTGGCGTCGAACCTCCTGGTGGGTCATGCTCGCTCGCTTTGCATGTGCACCCGTCAGTACTTCGTGATCTAGGGCATAGATGTGTGCTCATAGACTGTACGGATGGTAGTTTCGTTTGCATTTGCCACAAATGTGGTTATTACACGTCGGGGGGCCGGCTTGATCGCCTAGGTAAGAAGTGTGAGCCTTCGAAACGGGCCTCGCATTGTAATCCTTGGAGTCGTCTCCAAAAGGGCCTCCACCCGTCATACAATAAACCAGGAGTGCGGGTGGATGTCAATACGTTTTGTCAGGTTTAATTGTGCCTTTGCTCAGGGTGTGTGATGCGGTTCACTTTCACGCCACTGCTGTTGCACGGCCCTTGCTCGCTGCTGCGCGGCCACGGGGTGAAGGCTCCTTGTGGTGACGGCGGCACAGCGGGCAGTCTTAGGCACTTCGTTTGCGAGGACGCTTGCGGCGGCGTCCTCGTTTATCCTCCTCCCCATGTTGCGCTGGATGCTTGTTGAAAAATTTGGTCAGGAACTTTCGCCAGCACGGCTGGCAAGGCTAGTCGGCCACGGGCTGACTGTAACACGTTAAATCTTCCCTGCCAATTAGTTTGCTGCAAGCAGCTGCCGCGGCTCGCTTGTTGCCTGTACCTTGTTTCCTCAGGAGCAGATCCGCTGCACTTAAGGGCCCCTTAAGTGCAGCGGGCTGTCTTGGCCTCCATCGCGTCGATGCTCGAGCTGGCTCGAAGGGGCCTGCATCCCAAGGCGGGCGAGCCCCTCGAGCCGCTTGTTTTCTCGGAGCTCGGGGTGCCTGCGATGCTCAGCAGGCGCCCGAGCCCGAGGCACCTGAATAGTGGGCGGGTGCGGGCGGGGGGCGCGGTGCGAGTGGGGACTGCCCGGCGTTGCGCCGTTAGTGACCCTCGCACCGTTGCTCCCCTGCCCCGCGCACGGCGCGGAGAGCGCCCCTTGTTGGATGAGGGCCCTCTCTCGTTTTTTTTTTCGAGGCGTGTTCGTGATTCACCTGCACGCTCCCGTGCACTGTCCGCACTACCCTGTACAGTGGGTCCGTGTCTTTCCTGGAGTGCGGGGTGGATCGATCGGTCCTCCTGTCTGCTGCTCCTGGATCCGTTTGCTGCTGCCTGTAGAGTGTGGCGCCGCCTACTCTGCTCTGTAGTTGCTTTCTGGGTCTCTGCATCACGACCCCTTCGGTGGGCTCCCGTGTTGCACCCTGCTCGGGTGGCAGCTGCAGGTTGTATAGCTCTTCCTCGCCGCCCAGTCTGCTGTCCTTGTATAGTGGACAGCCCGAGCCGTGCTGCTGCGCAGTGATGTGCCTTCACCGCTGCGCTCCTGTCTCTTCTTCTCGCTGGCACTCGCCACGCCAGCGGAGTCATGTGGCTGATCATGGGTCGACCCCAAAAAATCCTCCTTCTCCTCGATCCTCGATCCTCGATCCTCGTCCTCCCCTGCCTCCCCTGGGGGGCTGGGGCGGCTGCCGCGGCGCCCGTTGGCGGGCCTGCAGGCGAACCTGCTGCCTCCTCCTCCCCTACTCCTCCTCCTCCTCCTCCTCTCTCCTACTCCTCTCCTCCCTCCTCCTGTCCTCTACTCTCCTCCTCCTCCTCTCTCTCTAATTACCCTCCACATCACCCACATCCCCTCCTCCTCTTCTCTTCTTCTTCCCCTCCTCCTCCTCCTTCCCTCCTCCTCACTCATCCTCTCCCTTCTCCTCTCCCGTTCGTCCTCGTCCTGCTCCTCTTCATGCTCCTGCTCCTGCTCCTTTTCCTGCTCCTACTGCGCCTCCTGCTCCTCCACCACCTCTTCTCTTTCCTTTCATCCCACCCTCCTCCTCCTCTCCTCCTCCTTCTCCTTCTCCTCCTCCTCCTCTCCTCCTCCTCCTCCTCCCTCCTCCTCCTCCTCATATTCCTCCTGCTCCTGCTCCTGCTCCTCCTGCTCCTCCTGCTCCTTCTGCTGCTCCTCCTACTCATCATCCTTTATTCCGTCGGTCGCACCGTGGTCCCCTGAGAGCCCAGATGCACTTGCGGTGGCACTGGCGACGGGCGAAGCCATAGCCATCGCAAGCGAATGGAAAGGCGGCTCGGCGAGCCGTGGCACGGCTTAGAACTCGGAGGAGTGTTAACTACGAACTCGATTCCTACGATTGGAAGATCCATGCAGTTCGCCTCAGCGGACCAGAAGTGGAAGCACAGTGGCCTGCCTCAACCACTCTGGGGCTCCCGAACAAAAAACATAAACCCTGATCCGCGCCCCAGCTGCGCCAGACGCTTGCTGCACGGTTCGGAACTTGCGACACCGAAGCGGGCTGCTCTGCCCAACTGCTTCCGCAGACGCCCGGCACATCCCGTGCCAGGCCAGAGGGGGGTGACTTGACTCGGCCGCCGGATCACCTGAGGAGAGAGGGAATTGCAGAGCCGATCGGGGACGAGCCAGGAAGGGAAGTCGGGGCACAGCGACACGCAGAGCGCTGTGCGGGCTGGCAAAATGCGGCGTCGGCCCTCTTCAGAAGCAAGCCCCACGCGCGCGGGCAGCCTTCCGCGGGACACGCGCAGGAGGCTTGCCTCAGATCGTCTATGGAAATGTTTGCGAACCCGCTGACGTCCAGAGGCGGCCGCCCTCCTCCGCCTCCTTCCTCCGCCTCCCTCCTCCTCCTCCTCCTCCTCCATCCTCCTCCTCCTCCTCCTCCTCCTCCTCTCCTCCTCCCCTCCTCCTCTCCTCTCCTCCCTCCTCCTCCCTCCCTCTCCTCCTCCTCCCTCCTCCCCTCCCTCCCCCCTCCCTCCCTCCCTCCCTCCCTCCCTCCCTCCCTCCTCCCTCCCTCCTCCCTCCCCTCCTCCTCCTCCTCCTCCTCCTCCTCCTCCTCCTTCTCCTCCTCCGGTTGGTTCCTCCCTCCTCTCGGCGGCGCGCCCATGGGGGAGTGCGAGGTGGCGGGCCTCCTTCAGCAGGCCCGAAGGCCTCCGACCTTCTGCGCAGCTCCCGAAGCCTCCTCTCCGACGCCGCGGGGGACTCTTCGGAAGGCCTGCAGGGCCTCCGAGAAGCCCCGCCGCCCTCCGAGGAGGCCTGTCCCCATCTCGCCTCCCCCCCTCGACGCGCCACCGATCATCGCCGGTGCCTGGCCAGTAGCTTTACGTCGGGCGTGTCCCCCTGCAGGCCGATGTTGGACGAGGATTAGAAATACCCAGAAAATAGCCTAAAAATGCTCGAACATTGTCAAAAAATAGTCCCCTGGCTATTTTTTTATTATCGTGAAATATTCCCCCTGTGGACTTCACAGCAGCTGGCAGCAGCCCCTCCCGGCTCTGGGTGCCTCCCCTCCCTGACCCCATGGGGACGGCGCGGGCGCTCCGCGCTGCGCCGCCGAGGAGGCACCCGCTCCTGCCCTGCGCAGGGGCCGAGGGCGAGACCGAGCGGCGGCGGAGGGTGCAGCCTCTCGCCGCTTGCGCCCGCGGCGGCGAGGAGTGCAGAAGGACCGGGGCGAGGGTGGGCCGGCCTGAGGGCACGGAGGCTTCTCGCGGGGGGCCCGCCCCTCGGGAGCCGCGCACTCCGCGCAGTCTCGGAAACACGCCGCGCACACAGCGCCTTCCGAGGAGCGGGGGTGCCGTCTTAGAGGGCCGCGACCCTGACCCTGTCACCCTGTGACGCGCCGCGACCAGCCACAAACAGGCGAGCCGTGTTCCTTACCCCCCTGGATGAACCCCTCATGTCGGCAACCTCTCGACAGTGGTGTCGAAGCGGCTGGGTGCCAAAGTGTGGTGTGGACCGCATACGCCCCCAACTGCGGCTGTTGTGCCTCCTTCGCTCCCTCCCCACGTCCCCCCCTTACAGGTCGTGGCTCGCCGGCAGCGGCGAGGAGGGGCCTCGCACGAGCGCAGGCCGAAAACACAGGGGACCCCGCGTCGGATCGGCGACCAGCCGGACAGCAGCTGGCACGCGCCCCCTGCGCGCAGCCGCTCCCCTGGCGCCCAGGCTGTACACGGGCGCACGCCGAGGAGGGGCCCCGGGGCATAGGAGATCTCCTATGCCCCTCGAGGGGAGGCGAAAAAGCGAGAAGGCCAAAACACATTGATTTTCATCAGGTTGTTGAAGGATGTTGGCCTCTTGGGGGGGTCCTCGGATGGCTCGGAGGGCACTTGAAACCGTCTTGGGGCCGTCTTGAGGCCTCTTGGATGCGTGTCGGAGGCTATCTTGAGCCAGCAGAGGCATCGGCTACGCGCAAGAGTGTCCCCAGGCAAGACGGGCATCTGGCGCGCGGCTCAAAGAGGACGCGGGGTGGCCAGACCCAGGCGCGCAGGTCGCGGCGACAGCGATCGGGGGGCCGCACCCGTGCCCGCCGACGGAGGTCGCACTGCTACGTCCAGCCGATGCAAAGCCACGGGCAGGGCTGGCCGGCCGCCCGCGCATGCTGACATCTCGTGTCGGAGCAGGGCGCGTTGAGGCAACGGCCGCTCAAGATCGAATCCCGGAGATCCAGACGCACCAGCTTTCCGAGTGGCGTCCAGCCGTGACGACGAGGGCCCCCGCCCCCGAGGGCCAACTACTGTCCCAAACCCCCACGTAATGTTCCTGTCCGAACGCCGAACCCTGGAGGTCTCGACCCATTCCCCGGGACCGGTTTTTCATCCCGAATCGTTTTTTGATGGCCCCGAGGCCGGGTCAGGGCCCCCAGAAGCTGAAAATTGCGAAACTTCTTCCGTCGTGAGGCTTTGCTGACTCGAGGGGGTCTGGACGGTCTGGGGTTCGGTCGGGCGTGTCCCCCTCTACAGGGGGATTGTGGGCGAAAAGTGAAAGATACTAAAACGATGCTCCCCACATGCTGGCAAATAGTCAAAAAATAGTCCCCGGACTATTCTTGGACTATTTTTGAATATCCCTCCTGTAGAGGGACAGGCCCTACTGAAGTCTCGGGCTGCCTCGACTCGCCCGCCTCCGAGCAGCGACGGCCACGGGCCCGGCGCGCAGGCCACTCGAGGCATGGCTGACCTCTCGGCCCGCCGCTCACGCGGGGCCTCGGCACGCGGCGAGCTCCTCCAGGAAGCGCTCGCGCAGCTCGCGCAGGAGCTCGGTGCGCCTCGCGGGGGTCAAGAACTGGCCATCGCTCGGACGTCCCTTCCCTGTGTTTTTTCCAGTCATGGCCAAGGATGCTCCTCGATGGTCCTCGCCGAAGGAAACATGCGCACGTCCGAGAGATGCCAAGAAGAGGTGCCGACGCCGCTGCTCCACGGACCTCTCCGAGGGTGCGGCCCGCCCAGAGCTCTGCGCTGGACGCCCGGCACGGGCACGGAGAAGGCGGGCAAGATGCCCAGCGGCAATTTGTCCCCACGCGGGCCACCGCGGGTGACACGACCGCATCGCGAATCTGAAGGTCGCCATAGGAGACCAGGCAATGACCTAAACGTAAGAACTCGGAGGTCCGCGCGGATTATCTCGGATCGGCGCTGGGGCCGCCCCCTGGCGGCGCCTCCGGCGCCGCCCCGGGGCGGGCTCCGCGCGCCGGGGAGGGGGGTCCGGCGCGGATCGAAGAACTCCGCAGGGGCCTCCGAGTCTTTCTGCTTATGCCACTCTTCGCTTCCCTACGCCAGGCACACCGAGAGCACCGCACGAGCCGACGTGCAGTGGACAAGGTCATGCTCTTCGTGGGTACGGAAAGGCGGGCAAGATGCCCAGCAGCAAGTTTCCCCACGCACACCGCGAATCCGAAGGTCGCCAGGCACACCGGGAACACCGCACAAGCCGACATGCAGTGGACAAGATCATGCTCTTCATGCTGTTTCTGCTGGCGGCCACCGCCTGGACGCGCTGAGCGCACGCTATGACCTCTCACACGCCGTCAAAAGCCATATGTGCGACGCGCCGTGCGTACGGTGCTCTCTCTTTTTTGGGGTGGAATGCCGTCAAAAACCATATGTTTTCACATGACGTCAAAAACCGTATGATTTCACATGACGTCAAAAACCATATGTGCGACGCATCATAGTGTGCTTCGGTGCTCTCTCTCTCTCTCTCTTTTCTGGGGGTGGGATGCGCCGGATCGACCTCGTCCTGGGTCGGCCGCGACGCCTCAGGACCATGTCTACTGCGGCGACGATTGCGAGGCGGTCGATTACGGGTGGCCGTAGGACGCCCCAGGAGGCTGAGCCACGGGAGCGTGGGGACCAGCACCGGAGCCAGTCCACGGTGCCGGAGGGGCCCCGCCATTCCTTGCGGACCGATCACACCCTGGTCACTGTCAACAGGCAGGGCCAAGCAGATCCATTAAGAGTAGAGGAGCGGGTGGGTAGGGAGAGACAGAGCACACCGTTCGCACGCGCGTGCTCGCACCCAGTGGCCATGGATGAGACATCGCACGGAGTGCCACCTCTGGGGCCAGCCTTTGGCCTTCAAAAGAAACACAGGGGATTCTCTGAGAACCTGCGAGTCCAGAGGCAGCAACGCAAGGCGAGCGATAATCACCGGCCCGCTTCACAACAGCCGATTGCAGGGTCAGTCCACCACCGCCATCGCAGGGCAACATTAAGACGACCGTATCGCAAGCTCTACTCTGCCAATGACACTTGGCCTGAGCAACACGATACCCAACAGCCAGTATGGTTGAAAACTGACAGCAGCCGCTGTTGGGCAGGCGGCCTTCCGTCGCAAGTGGGCAAGCCCGCGGCGGCACCGACAGTAAATCCTGTTCAAGATGGACAGGAGCTGCTGTCAGCCTCTGTCTCATTCTTCCGTACCAACTTAGATCGTACCGATTCGAAGCGAATCCAGCCGTGGAGCCGAGGACTCTCCAGGACGAGCACCGGCATCGGCACGTCGTGCTTGGTAACTCTTCGGGTTGCACACAGTTGGGCCCCCGAGGGAGTCCCGGATGGCCTCAACAGGCCCCCCGAGTAGTTCCAGCTGTCCTCCACAGGCCCCCACGGGCAGCCTTGGGCGCGCAGCGCCCCAGGGGCGCCGCCCAAGGCGGCGACAGGGTGCCGAGGCCGCCCCAGACTACTCGGGGGGCCTGCTGCGGCCAGCTGGGGCTGCTCGGGCGGCCTGCGGAGGCCAGCAGGAATTGCCTGGGGAGGGTGTGTGCGCGCAGCCCGAAGCCTTACGGTCGGGACATGGCTCTTGGCCTGCCGCGGCGGCGGCCCCGGCGACGCGCTTTGCCATGCTTGGTGAAAACGTGTAGCCCCGCCCCGCAGCGCGGAAGGTCGGGAAAGGCTCAGGGCGGTGACGCCTAGGGGACCAGGAAGTGGATGGCGTGCCGCGCCGAAGAGTGCTGGGCCACAGTCGGCGGAGCGACATGCTATCCTTATGTCGGGCGTATCCCCCATACAGGGGGGGATTTTCGACGAAAAATAAAAATACCCCAAAAATGATCAAAAGATGCAGAAAAATACTCAAAAATTTGTTCCCAGACTATTTGTTGACTATTTCGGAGTATTCCCCCTGTAGAGGGACAGGCCCGACCTAATGCCATCCACGAGTGCCCGACCGCACCAAGCGGCATCGGCAGGTCTTAGCTGTCTTCCTCCTCCTCCTCCTCCTCCTCCTCCTCCCCCTCCTCCTCCTCCTCCCTCCCCCTCCTCCTCCTCCTCCTCCTCCTCCTCTCCTCTCTCCTCCTCCTCCTCCTCCTCTTCCTCCTCCTCCTCCTCATCCTCCTCCTCCTCTCCTCCCTCCTCCTCCTCCTCCTCTCCTCCTCCTCCTCCTCCTCCTCCTCCCTTCCTCCTCCTCCTCCCCTTCCTCCTCCTCCGAGCCTCGAGGGGTCCAGCAGTTCCTGGTCCGCCGCCTCGAGGCGTCCGATCGGCGCCTCGGAGTTCCGCGGCCGCGGCCCCGAGCTCAGGGGCAGCGGCGGCAACCCCGCCAGGAACCCGTGCTCGAGCGCGCGCCGCGCCGAGGGCCTGGC